AGCACCTCAAATTTAGATACTTTTAAAAGAGGTTCATGGAGTTTAAGAAAAATTATTTATTACAGTCAGGAAGTTTGGTATATGCCATAGCTCTGACTCGTCTTCTGACATAAATTAGAGCTGAGAAGTCTCAATTATGGGTAGTGAGCTGGCAACTCTCAGAAGGAAAGAAACATGACTAACAAGGGCATAGGGAAGGGATATGAATTACTCGGGTCATTTCAACATTAAGCATCTACTATCAGCAAGATATTTACCAGTGGAGAGAAGTATATAGAACAATTATTCCCATTCATCAAGATACTCTGCCTAGACTCATATCCCAATGGTTAGCAATTTCTAACCCTTCTTTAGTCTCCTAGTACCACCAATATGGAATCATTAACTGCCAAAACAAACAAACAAAAAAAAAATGCCCAGATCCCCAAATACCTCCTGTTTTATCCCTATCTACCTCAACCCTATCTTTCTAATGTCCCACTTCTGAGCTGCCTGTCCCTTCCTTTGTGCACTCTATAATCCTTAGGTAACTTTCCTTCATCTTAGATCTGCTAAAGTCTCTCTCATGTAATTTATATCTTTTGGCATTCAGAGAAACCTGGCTTTCCTCAGATGACAGAGCATCCCTGGTCATCTTTTCTAGTACTAGTTATACCTTTCCCCCCATTCCCCAATTCATTAGTCCCAGAAGAGAAATCATATTACTCCTCATTGCCATTTTCAGACTTTCCCATTATCACCATCACTCAAGCAACCTCTCCTCCTTTGAAGTTCACTCTAAACAAATTTATCACCCAATCCAGTGTACTAGCTACTAGTTCTTTCCCTTCTGAGATTTCCTTCAATCTACTCTGAACATATCTTATATGTTCCTAATTTTTAAATGTTGTCTCCTTCATTAGACTGTAAGCTCCTTTAGAGTGTGGACTGGTTTTTGCCTTCTTTGTATCCCTAATATACTGCCTGGCATATAGTGAGCACTTAATAAATGCCTGTTGACTGATTAGCTGAACTGAACTAAGCACTGTCTTTCATTGCCATTGCAGATGGTCTACACTGTTCAAATGCAAACTGGCCTTCACTATTGGGAAACTAAAAACCTGGACCTCACTGCTGGTGAACAAAATTAGCAACTGATGATGAAGCACCATAAACGAAGTGACAATTGGTACATTTCCAAATAGAGAGAACTGAGAAGACCTATTAAGGTTAGTGATTTGACCGTGGTCACACAGTAACAGAGCCAGAATTTGAACCCTAGTCCTCTAGCTCCCAATCCAATGTTATTTCTCCTTCAATTATAACCTTAACCACATGATTTCACAGATAGTAATTAGGCAGAAAGCAAAGGAATCAAACCTCACAAGGTAATTTTAATTCCAACAAAGGATTATTATAGTATACTTGGACAACAGTCCAAACAACTATTTCAAGTAAATATCTTGTATTTCAGTGGCACTTTTTGCTTTTTTTAAATACTGTCATATATTACCCCAAAGTAACAAGAAGTAATACATCCTCAAAATATTTTTATATAAAAACTATAAACTGCTAAATAGTTTTTTTGGTTGTATATTAAATTTAACATAATAATAACAAAACAACAATGCATATCTGTGTCCCATTCAAAACCAACTTTTGCCCTCTTTGGTATATATTTTTTGTTTCACTTTTTCACTGATACTATTTTCTTTCTTTTCTCTTTTTGCCTTACTCTCATTACCCACCTTTCCTTTGTAACCAGTAAGTGTTGTCAAGCAGATCAAAACAACACATTGGCTATGTCTGAAACAACTGCCTTCTGAATTTTGGCTATGACGTATACTTGCCATGGGCTTTCTGGGAGGAGGAATGGGTGTAAGGGTGGGTCCATAAAGGAAACAGAGTTGACTTATGGCATTCACTTTAGGGAGAGCTGGGAAAACCCCTGTAATTTACCTGCCGCAGAAGCAGCACTTGCCTTCTCAGTTCTGGATATAAGGGATTCTAAGAATTGGAGGTGAGAAAGTAGTCTATTTTAGGCATGGGGGGGCAATGCCAAGGCATGGAACTAGGAGATGGAATACTGTGTTCAGATAACAACAAATAGGCCAATCTGATTGGACCATACAGTGTGGGAAAGGGAGTAATTAGTATTAAGTCTGGAAAGGTATAGAGAAACCAAATAGTGAAGGGTTTTATCAGTTTGTATTTCATCCTAGAGGAAATCAGGTGGAGGAGCAATGTGTAATAAGTCTGCAAAGGTAGGCAAAAACTAAATTGTGAATAGCTTTAAATGTCAGTGGTTTTGTATTTCATCCCAGAGGCAACTGGGCACTTCTTAGGCAAGGGAGTGAGTGACGTGGTCATTCCCTTACTTTAGATTGATCGCAGGATTTCAGAATTAACAGGATTTCATTTTATCCTCACTACAACTATGAGGGAGATGCTATTATCTCCCTTTTATAGATTAGGAAACTGAGGTGCTCAGAGTTTGAGTGATTTGCCTATGATCATGCAACTAAAAAATATTTGAGGCTGAATTTGAACTCAGGTCTTCCTACCTCCAGTCCCAGTGCCTTCCCTAGTCACTCTATCCTCCTCAGTGGAAGACAGGATATGTGAAGGACATAAGGGAGGTCAGAGCCCAACTGCAGAGAGCTTTACATTTGTCCGGTAAGGGGAATCACTGAAGATTTCTGAAAGGTCAGTGGTGACATTTTTTTTAGGAGGGCTTAAGCTTATCAGGCAGAGGTGTGTCAGATATGTGGAAGCAGAAATAAATGAGAAACAAGAAGGCCTCTTTTGGACAAGAAGAGAACACACAAGCTATTCTTAAAATCAGAACTTTCGAATCACCTCCAAATCAGACTCTGCAAGCAGGTCATCTAGAGTATAACGGAACTCATCTTCCTCTGCCATGCATCATACCTGGAGAATTCTCTGCTTGAGACCAGAAGATACAGGCAGTTTTCCTATTTACAAATGCAGCTGTAAAAGAAATCAACTCTATGCCCATCGTTTTGAAACATTCAACTGAAATAGAACACTTGGGAGGTGTCTGACATTGATGTCCACAATTAATGGTCCATCTGAAGAGACAGTACAGACTCTTAGAGCTGGAAGTGGCCTTAATGACATTCTAAGCCCTGACTGAACCAAAGAAGAATTCTTCACTAAGCCTTTCTGGCAAGTGCCCCCTCACTCTGTGCTTGGAGATCACCAGTGAAGGGAGCCGAGCACTTCCTCAGGCAGCCCAGCCCATGTCTGGAGAGCCCGCGTTGCTAGGATGGCTTCTCTTATATGCACCTAAAGGATGTGCTTTGCACACACGCTCTGGATCCTGCCCTGCAGAGCCAAGTCAAACAAATTAATCTGATTGTTCATCACAGCCATTCAAATCATTGAAGACAGTTTTCACATCCACCCCAAGTCTTCTTTTGTCCAAGTTTAACACCTTGAGTTCTTTGAACTTACCTTCATAAGATGTGATCTCAAGACTTGTGTCACCACCCTAGCTGCTCAGAAGTTTAATAGGGTCCTTCCTAAGAGATTATCCATCACCCTGAACGCAATGCTCTGAATGTTGTGGGCACCCAGGGCAGGCTAGAACCTGAGCCAAGGGCACCATGTCTCTCTTCACATGCCCTAAGTCTGAATTAACTTTCCTGATTACCATAGATTGCACTGTTAACCCCATATTAAGTTTGCAATCTATTGAAATGCTCAAATATTTTCCAGACAAGCTGCTGATTAGTCATGTTTCCTTCATCCATTTGTGCAAGTGATTTTTGAACCCAACTTTACAGATAACCTTATTGAATTATATCTTAGAGATTTGCTCCAATAAAAAAAAGAATAATAGTTTTGGCAACTGAGACCTTTGTGTCAAAGCCTAAACTCCAAGCCAGGTCGCCTAACTTCCGCTGTTTCTGCCAGCTCCTTCAGCCTGTGGCTTACACCTTCTTGGCTATGTGGCTACACAAATAAGGCTCCTGTATCAGCCCTATTTCTCTTTCTCTCTTTCTTTCTCCTTTCTCCTCTCTCTCTCTCTCTCTCCTCCCCCTCTCTCTCCCCCCTCCCCTTTCCCTCTCTCCTTCCTCCATCCCTCCTTCTCTCCCACTTTCTTCTTTTCCTTCTTCTCTCTGTGTCTCTCTCCTCCCTCTCTCTCTCCCTCCCCTTTCCCTCCCTCCTTTCTCCCTCCCTCCCTCTCTCCTTCTCTCTCCCCCTCTCCCTCCCTCCCCTTTCCCTCCCTCCTTCTCTTCCTCTCTCTTCTCCTTCTTCTGTCTCTCTCCTCCCCCTCTCTCTCCCTCCCTTCTTCCTCCCTCCCTCCTTCTCTCTCTTTCTCCCCCCTTCCCTTTCCCTCCCTCCTTCCTCCCTCTCTCCTTCTCCTTCTTTCTTCTTCTTCTTCTCCTTCTTCTCTCTGTCTCTCTCTCCTCCCCCTCTCCCTCCCTCCTTCCTCCCTTCCTCCTTCTCTCCCTCTTTCTTCTTCTTCTCTGTCTCTCTCTCCTCCTCCTCTCCCTCCCTCCCCTTTTCCTCCCTCCTTCTCTCCCTCTCTCTTCTTCTTCTTCTCCTTCTTCTCTCCCTCTCCGCCTTCCCCCTGCCTCCCGGGTTTGCTGGAGCCCAGGACAGACGGCCCAGAGGGCCCGACCTCGCCGCGGGTGCCTGCAGCCCGTGCCTGGTCTCCCGTGGTGGTCCGGGGGAGGCCATCCCCTCTCCGCTCACCTGGGGCTTCTCGCGGTTGTCCGGTCCGCCGACCGAACCGCACCTGAGAGTCGGTGAGGGCGCCCATGGTGGCCATGGCACCCCGCGGCTCCGAAGGGCCGGAGCCTGGGGCCCAACCGAGCCGAGAGCGCTCCCGCCCGCCGCTCGCCGCCGCAGCCTTCTAGTGTTTTCCTCCGACGCTTCGCGTTCCTTAGCAACGCTCCCGGAAGTGATTGGAAACCGTCGGCGGGAGGCGAGAAACCGATTCCGGGGGGGGTACAGGGGGCGGGGCTGGGGCGGAGTCGTGTCCGGGAAGGGACGGTTTGGCCTTTACTGGGGGCGGGCGGAGCAGAGGCCGCGGCTGGGCGGGGAGCAAAGGGCGATGCCAGTGAGTGCGGGATCAGGGTCCGGCCGGTGCCTGGGGCGCCAGCGGAGGCGGGAGGGTGGGCCGCGGACCGGGCTGGGTCCTCTCTCCCAAGGCTGGGGGGGGATGGGGAGCCCCGCGACGGCTGCCGCAGCGGGGACCGCAGCCTCGGGGAGGGAGAGCCAGCGTAACCCGCTCCGTAGAGGGTCCGAGGGGGTGGGGGACGCCCTGAGGGGAGCCTGGAAGGCCATTTACCCCAGTCCCACCCGCACCCCCCAGGAGCTTACCCAAAGCGTCTCGAATATTTTGGCTTCCAAATCCAAAAAGCCGGGGCTCTCCTGGAGGAGGCGGGACGTTTCCCAGTTGTCACCATAAATAAGGACTTTACATCCCTGGGACTCAGTTTCCTCATCTGTAAACCAAGGGGAGATTGGCTATAGCGGCCTCCACCCCCCCCCCCAGGTCTAGATTTGTGGTCCTACGAGCTCCCCGTAGAGGTACAGACTTTGGGTTCTGCCTTTGCTCTCCCCATCCCCACTCCCGTCCTAAGGACACTTGGCCGGACCTTGACCTGGGGCAAGGTAGGGTGGGGCCTGTTGACCACTCAAGGCTGTCAGTGCCCCGGGGGACTCTTGGAAAGGATGGTGAAGAGCTGTGCGGTTAAGCCGCCCTGCGCTGATAAATCACCGATTCGGCCAAAAATAGTTTTTATTTATTTTAATAAAGCTACTAAGCTTGTAGTCGGGAGATCTGGGCTTTGTCACTCCCCAGCTAGGTTTTGACGAGTGATTTCATCTTTCCAAGTCTATTTTTTCATCTGTAAAATGAGGTGGTTGGTCTAAGTTCAGAGGTTCTTAACCTTTTTTATGTACTGGACTCCTCAGAATAATGTTTTTTAAAAGTATAAAATAAAATGCATAGGATTATAAAGGGCTTAGCACAATAAATGTATTGTGTAAAGGAAACTATTCATGTTGAAATGAAGCTGTCAAAATATTTTGAAAAACAAGCTCTCTGAGCCCAGTTTAAAACTCCTGGACTAGATGATCTCTAAATTCCTATTCATAGGCTCATAGATTTGGGGCTGGAAGAAAACCTTAGAAGACAAATAATTCGGTCCGTCATTTTACATGTGAGTGAAGTATCCCAGAGTTCGACCAGGGTCACAAAAGTAGTAGCAAAAATAGGGCTGAGATTTAGACCAGGATCTATTCGTTATAGTTCAGCAGCCTTTGCACTGTGCTAGGCCGCCTCCTATCTGCTTTAAGTAAAATTCCTGCTTTGTCCTGGAATGTTTATATACTAAATAAGCAGTATAGAAATAAGTAGTTCAATAGGGACATTGTCTGGCAATTCTAAATTATTTATAATTTAGAGATTATTTTAGGGACTAGACAGGCATCCCGGAATAAAAATTTTCTGGATAAGACTTGTAAGAACTAAGCATTAATGTACCTAGCGCCTGTAAAAATAACTCCTAAGTCACATTGATATACAGATTATTTCATTAGCAAAAATGTACTTTAAATCCTTCACTGTGACCATTAAAGAAGTGAGGAATAGGATTTACATAGTTTATATAATTCATTTCCTTTCGAAAATGTTTCTGCTTTTCTCCTATTTCTTTGTCTTTCATAGGATCATAGAGCTGGAAAGGAACTGGAGACCAAATCCCTCATTTTATATGTGAGAGAACTCAGAGACTTGAGGAAGTTAAGTGACTTGCCCAAAGTCACCCAGGTAGTTAAACAGCAGAGGCAGTTTTCAGTTTTCTTTTGTTTTGATCCATTTCTTGATCCATCTTTGATCCATTTTTTGATTAATGTTAAAATTTATTTACTAACATTGAAGAATACTTAAAGGAACTTTATAACTAATAACATTGTTTTGCAGCTGTACAACTTAGGCCAGGCCCATTGTTCCAAACTTTAAAAGATTTAGTTTTAAAGAACTGTATTTTGGAAAACTAAGAATTTTTTTTAATGAAAGCTGATGTTATGATTTACAGCTGTACCATATTACTTCAGGCTCACAACCATCTGTTGTACTTCCCTATGACATAGGTAAGTAGGGGAAAGGTTAGTAAAAAATAGTTGAAGAAAGAAATTATTTTTGTATGTACAGTGTTTGCCAGATGAAAAAATTGTAATCATAGAATAGCAGTAATTTTGGGTATGTGTGTTTCATTTTAATATGTTATGGAAAACTTGTAGGTAATTTTAATTGTAAGTAGTTAAAAATTATTAACCATCAGGCTGGCTGTAGGGTGATGGATTTTTTCAGCTACCGCTCATGAAGACCTTCTGTTAAGGCATAGAGGAGTTGCAGTTTGCATGGCATGGGGGTGGGGGAGGAAAGGCAGAAAATGGTACTCACACCTACAAAGTCTTAGTTTCACTGAAGTATTAAAAAGTATTTATGAATACTTACATGGGTAGTAGAATATATTAATAACTTTTTATATGACTTTACAAATGAGTCTTAGTAGGCTGCATTATACATTAGTGATAGGGGTAGAATATAACATATCAGATTGTCATTCAAATAAGGTTGATCCAATACATTTCTAGCTCAGTCAGTCAGCTAGCATTTATTAAGTGCCTGCTGTATGCCAGGGACTGATACAAAGAAAGGCAAAAAAGCCAGTTCCTGTGCTCAAGGAGCTTACAGTAATAGGGGAGGCAACATGCCAACAATTAAAAGACAAGCATTTTTGAAGCATTTCGTATGTGCCAGGCACTGTGCTAAGTACTTTATAAATATTATCTCATTTGAACCTTGTAAGATAGGTGCTATTATGATCCTTATTTTACAGTTGAAGAACCTCAGACAAAGACAAACAAAGGTTAAGTGACTTTCCCAGGGTTGCACACTCAGATACTTACTAGTTTGAGGCTGGATTTGTACTCAGGCCTAGTACCTATCCACTGCACCACCTACCTATGTACAAACAAGCTATATTTAGGATAAGTTGGGTGAATGTGGAGGGGACTGGGAGATCATCTCAAAATGATTAAAGAGGATGGAAAAGCTTCTTGGAAAAGCTTCTTGTAAAAGGTGAGACTTTAACTGAGACTTGAAGGAAGCCAGGGTAACTAGAAGGCAGAGATAAGGAAGAAGACCACTCCTGGCATGGAGGAAAAACACTTGGAGTAAGGAGATGGAGTATTGTGTTCAAGGAACAGCAAGGAGGCCAGTGTCATTGGATCACAGAGTACATGGAGAAGAGTAAGATCTATGAAGACTGGAAAGTTAGAGAGGAGTCGAGTTCTGAAAGACTTTGAAAGCCAGAGGACATAAATATAAATTTGAAGTCCTTTTTTTCAATCCTCATTGTTTTTGACCTCTCTGCAGCTTTTGACACTATCATATCATCCTCCTCTTGATACTCTTTTCTCTCTAGATATGTCACATCAAGCTTTCCTGGGTCTCCTTTTACCTATATGACTGGCATCTTCTCAGTCTTTTTTGCTGGATCTTCGATTAGGCCATGCTAATCATGGATGGCCCCCAGGGCCCTGTTCCATGCCCTCTTGTCCTTCAGTGCCATTTTATTTGGTAATCTCATCAGCTCCTGTGGATTCAATTATCATTCTCAAATCTACCTATCCAACCTTAATCTCTCTACTTCCTCCAGTCTACAGCTGCCTAGTAGACATATTGAACTGGATGTCTTGTAGACATATTAAACTCAACATGTCCAAAACTTGTTATCTTTCTCCATAAGCTCTCCTACCTTCCAAATTTCTCTGTTATTATTGAAAGTACCACCATCCTCCCAGTCCCCCAGTCTCTCAATTTAGATGTCATCCTTGATTCTTTACTATCTCTCACTCCACCATATTCAGTTCTCACTCCACCCATATCTAGTCTGTTGCTTAGGCCTGTCAGTTTCACCTTTACAATATCCCTCCAATATACCCTCTTCTCTTTTCTGATACTGCCACAACCACCCCTGGTAGAAGCCCTCATCTCTTCACACCTGCACTATTGCAATAGCCTGCTAATGAGTCTGTCTGCCTCAAGTCTCTCTCCACTCCAGTCCATCATTCAACTGCCAGAGTGATTTTCCAAAAGTACAAGACTGACCACATCACCCTTACTACCCAGTAAATGCCAGTGGTTCCCTATTGTTTCCAGGATCAAATATAAAATCCTCTGTTTGGCATTTAAAGCCCTTCATAACCTAGAGTGCTCCTCCTTTCTAGTCTTCTTATACTTCATGCCCCCTTATACCTCTACCCTCTACATACTCTTCCATCGATTGACACTGGCCTCTTTGCTGCTCCTCAAACTAGATACCACATCTCTTGACTGGGCATTTTCACTGGCTGTGAAAATTCTATGTCAGGAATGTTCCACCTTCTCATCTCCAGCTCCGGGCTTCCTTAGCTTTCTTCAAGTCTAAAATCTCACCTTCTACAGGAAGCCTTTCCCAAATCCCTTTTAATTCTAATGCCTTCCCTCTTATTTACTATTTATCATGTTTCCTGTTTATTGTAGCTTGCTTTTACATATTTGTTTATATGTTTTCTCCCCTATTAGATTGTAAAGTTCTTGAGGGCAGAGACTGTCTTACATTTCTTTGTATCCTCAGCACTTAGCACAGTGTCTGGTGCATATTAGACACTTAATAAATACATAGTGACTGAATGATTGGCTGATCCTAGAGATAATGGAAGTGGGGAGAAGGGGAAGAAGAAAAGAAGCATTTTTATAGTGCTTGTTATTTGACAGATACTGTGCTAAGGATGTTTCATTTTATCATCACTACCCTGTGAGGTAGGTGCTATTATTATCCCTATTTTACAGTTGAGGAAACTGAGGTAAAATGATCTAAGTATCTGAGGCCAGATTTGAACTCAGGTCTCTGAGGCCAGATTTGAACTCAGGTCTTCCTGACTCCAGATCCAGGGCTGTATATACTATATCACCTTGATGTCACTTGAGTTTATTGAATGGGGAGGAGGGATGTGATGTTATGGTCAGACTTGCATTTTAGGAAGATAAATTTGGCAGCTCTTGAGGATGAATTCAAATGGGAAAAGTTGAGGCAGGGAGACCAACCAGCAGGCTATTGAAGTAGTTCAGGTGTGAGGCGATGAGGACCTTCACCACAACGGTAGCAGTATCAGAAGAGAGAAGGGGGAATATGTGAGAGATGCCATGAAGGCATTTTTGCCAGGCCTTGGTAATAAATTGCATGGGTGGTAGGGGTGGAATGAGGAGTATAGGATGATACCTAGATTGTGATCCTGAGTGGTTGGAAGGATGGTAGTACCATCAATAATAATACAAGATTTAGGAAGAGGGGAGAGTTTAGAGGGAAAGATTATCAGTTCAGTTTTAGACATGTTGAATTTAATATTCCTACTGGACGTCTAATTCGAGTTGTCTAAAAGGTGTGACTAGAGGTCAGCAGAGAAGTTAGAGCTGAGGGAGTAGATCATCAGCATAGAGATGATAATTTAATCTGTGGGAGTTGATGAGATCACCAAGTGAAATAATGTAAAAAGAGAAAAGGGTCCAGAATAGAAACCTGTAAGACACCCATGTTTAGTGGGGTTGACCTGGATGAAAATCCAGGAAAGAAAGGTCAGATGGGTAAGAGAAGAACCAGGATGAAGTAGTAGCATAAGGCATCCTGGACTTTCTAGATTGACTTGTGAGTCATTCCTGGTGTTGGAGATCCAAGGGAGACCAAGCTTCCCTCAAGGGATCTGGGTAACTCTATGAAGTATATATAGAAGGCCCTACTCAGTGGGAAAACTATAGCATCTTCCTATCCACTATAACACGTCATAGGCCCATGCTAGAGTAACCTAAGTCCCTAGTGAGTGATGTAAAACTGAACCAGCTTCCTTTATGACCAGACTTATGTAATCCTTCCCATAGCTACTGGATATAATTTTCACCTGAACTAAACAGATATGTATATAAATAAGTAATCCATTAGATTCGTTTTTGTGGATAAAAGAAGAAAACCCTAGACCTTCTCTGAGTTGGTAGAGAAGTGAGATGAATCTGGAGTTGTCTTTTGACTATTAAAACTCCGAATATTTGTAGAACGATTCAAAATTCTGTCATTAAATGTTCTTATTCCATGATTCTCATCTAGACATTAAAATCTAAAAGAAATTGGATCTGAAAATCTCCACATTACTGCTTTGACATCTGTGAGTGCTTATTTTTTCAGTTATGTTTATTTTTTTCCCATACTAATCTGTGTTTTCTTAGTGGAAGAGGAAAGAGGAGGAGTGAGATGTTATGTGACACATATTAAGTTATTAAGGTATTGGTTTTTAATTTTAGGTGTAATTAAGAAGCCTCACTTCCATTGCTTCCAAGCAAGGACTGTTCCTCATGAAAGTGTATTGAAACATATTGAGAAATAACCTGCATGGTATTTAAAATGAGAAGGTTCTGGCCATTGAACTCCAGCTCTAAGGTGAAATAAAACATTGTTCCCTTGGAGAAATTAATTTGGGTAGGTATCTCTTCATTAGCTGTTTCTCTTGACATTTATTACAATAATAATTGGGTGCTGGAGATAGCATGAAAAATGGACAGGAATCAAAGAAATGGAACAAAGAAGAGCAACAGAAAGATCTGTTAGTAGATGGATACAAAGTAGACTAGTGGAGTTATGTTAACTAGAATAGCGGTTCAACCTACGTGGGGGGATTGGGAGCTACAGAAGTTTAGTGACCTCTTCCCCACTGTGGCAAAAATAAATCTAAATCACAGGTAGTCTTCACCTTAGGAAGGGTATGTTTCAAAAGTTCATTTTTAAGCCTATGATTTGGAATTCAGACTACATTTTTCTATAGAAACAGTGAGTAATTATTAACTGCATAAAAGAAGACACATTTCTGATCTCTATGTGTTCTGAACCCCGATTAGGGAATGGTCAATTGCTTCTATGAGGTTGGGGCATATCTGGATTTGAACTCCTCCACCATTTGTTCATCTGTACAAGTCATTCCTAAGTCAGGGAACTGCCCATTTTTAAATGTCAAATATTTCAGCTCTTTTATTGGTGTTTTCTTTTTTATATTGGTTGTGTTCTCCTTTTTCTTTTTAGGTACTTTTTGCTAAAAATCTCTTAACAGTTAAAAGATCTTAACAAAGTTAAGATAGGTCTCATATAGGAATGTTTTTGGTTACTTTGTGCTTTGGAGCTTATTAACATTTTCAGGTAAGTGTTAAACTTTACCCAAAAACTATTGTTTCCTTTTATCTCAAGTTGTTTTTATGGTTTTATATCCCTGTCTATAAAAACCTTTTCCTTTTGGTACCTTTTTAATTTATATCTACAAATAGTCCCTAGTTATTGCTTTTACCCTCTTTATTATTATATTCTGTCTAAATTCTCATACATTTACCTTCCATTTTGCTACTCATTACCATCTGTTGTCTTTTCCTTTGGTTTCTTATTAGTCTCCTTACAGCCCCACTGCTAATCCCCATCTGTTCTTTCAGGCATCTTCATTCTTTTCAGTAGACTTGAAAATGGAATCATGAATTCTCTAATAGCTGGAGTGGAACAAAATAAAGCTATAAATAATTCTTATATCATAATCCATTTCCTCCTAGAGTGATAGACCATTCATAAACCATTTTTATTTGGCATATTAGTGCCAGACTATCTATGTATTGCATATCTCTTACAAAATTGTTACCAGAAATTATTTAGGATCAAGTGTCTTGTTTTCTCTTTGCTATTTAGCCTATGGCAGCACAACAATATTAATATTCCAGTGAGCATTGGAATTTGAAATTAATTATTAAGCTAAATATCTTTAATAAATTTTTAAAAATACCTATTAGAATAAGAATTTAAAATTACAAAAATTTGTGCAATATAATACTTTGGTCAGAATTTGATTCTGGTAAACAGAAACAGGCATATTTTTAAACATTTTTTAAACAAAGTAATCTCGAGGATTAATGTTGGGTGTTTTAGTAGGCATAGTTAACCCACATTTTCTTCTGTTTTGCTCCCTTGAGTTTTCAATTTAACTGTCTCATAATAATTCATGTTAGAATAGAATGCTAAGTATACTTTCATTTTGATCTTTAAAGATACCCTAGCCCCATGGTCACTTTTATACCTACCCTTCAGACGCTTAGCTTGTAGAATTATACCAATAGGAATTCAGGTAATGTTATGGATATCATTTTAGATGGTAAAGTAGTCAGATATACTTTGGACTTAGGTAGATACTTATATGTAGTTGCACTTCAGTTAATTTTAGTGCTGTCAACACCAGTATAAATCATAGCTCCTCTATGCCTTCTTATCTTGTACGTTTCTCTTTCATATCTTTGCTTAAATCCTCCATGTGGCCGGAGGGTGGGGGGAGGGGAGAGTCCAACCAATGTCCTGAAGACTTCCTCTGATTCTTTTAATATCTCAAAAGTACCATGGAACATTTTGCTGTTCATTTGTTTCTGATTCTCACTACATGATCCAGCTCACATGTATCTTTAATGATATCTTCTCTACAAAAATTGTAGATTGTTTCAAGGTATATACTTTGTTCTTTTGTTTTTCTTTTTTTGCTAGGCAGTGGGGTTAAGTGACTTGCCCAGAGTCACACAGCTAGTACGTGTCAAGTGTCTGAGGTCAGATTTGAACCCAGGTCCTCCTGACTTCAGGGCTGGTACTCTATCCACTGTGCCACCTAGCTGCCCCCTATACTTTGTTTATACCTTGAAACAACCTTGAAGTTATCTACAATTTTGATTAGTAGGAAAATGTGTTGTTATTTTATTTGCATCCATTGAATGCTATTGGTGTTTAAAAATTGGAGTTTTGTAGCAACAGGATCTTCAGAGGTGCTATAGTTTGCCAAATGTGATTCAATCTGATATCCTTTACTTAATTTTGAGCCTAGTTAATTGTTCTTATACAACACTTTTCCATATATAGTTGAACTAACTGAATGGGTTTCCTGTCCAGTTGCCTATTGTACTTTGGACAATATATGTTTTTCATCTATCTTGTTTTTTCCATTTTAGATGAGTAAACCAATCTTTTAAAATTAACAGTTTCACTGAGGAACCTCTGTAGTGTGCTGTGATTTGAAGCAATTAATAGAATGTATTCTATGAATTGCATTTGGAAAACCTCACCATTAAAAGGGAATCACTTCTGTTTAGACTCTTTACAAGATATCCAATGCACTGGCAAACATCATAGGTGAGCATGTATCTCCCTGGTATATGCCTCATATGATATCAGTATTCAGAAGATCAAAGAAGGTTAATCTCCATAGGCACAATTGTTCTTAAATTTTATATAATCTTTACATATTTTCTGTTTTGCCTCTACTTCCTTAAATCTTACATAATCTAAACATAGTTTCTCTTTTACCTTTGCTTATACATTCACTCATGCTTAGAATAGACTCTCCCCACCCCCATGTGGATCTCTTTGAGTCCATGCCTTTTTCCCTCCCCTCCATTCCAAGTAAAATCCTCATCAGAATTCTTGTGGCATTTTGCTTGGATCTAGAACTGGCATTTATCTCCCTTTCTTTCACATCACAGGTTGTTTTTGTTTTTTTAATGAACATGTTTGCCCTTGTATTAGATTGTTACATCCCTGAAAGTAAGGTTTTTGTTGTATCCTCAGGGCCTAGCACAATGTCTACTGAATCTTGTTTGAGACAGGCCTATAAAGTTCTATTTGATTTTGCATAGTCAAATGCCTTTTTATTATTTTTTTTAAAAGGCAATTGGGGTTAAGTGACTTGTCCAGAGTCACACAGCTAGTAAGCCAAATGCCTTTTTAAATCAGCAGTAGATATAGCAGGCTCTATATTCTCTACATCTGTCAGTATGGGTCTATGAAGATACCATCTGCTGTAGAAAATTGCCTGCAAAAGCCTGCCTGATCCCTTCTCCTGTTTTCATCAAGAATATTCTTTTGCTTAAACCGTAAAGATTTTATAGAGATGAGAAATTAAACATATTATGAGTTGGCAGTGTCTTTGCAGTCACCCTTTTTTTTTTTTTCAGTAAAAGAACCAGCCACAATCTTTTCTATTCTTTTGAAAGCTTCCCTTCTTTAAGATATATCCAAAATTGATTCTTGAATGCCTTAAAAATCATGTTGCCTCCACGGATTCATTTACCAAATATTTACTAAGAACTTATGTGCCAAGAACTGTACTGGATATTGGGGATTAAGAAACAAAACAATTCTTGCCCTTTAGGAGCTTACAATCTGTGGATGGTTTCATTGGGACCACACTATGAATATAGAAAATCAAATGCTAAATGTAAAAATATTTTGGGGGTGAGCAGGGGGACAGATCTAGCAATTAAGGAAAACAGGATAAGCTTCCTATAAAAGATTGTTCTTGAGATGAGCCTCGGAAGAAACAAGGAATTGTAAGAAGCAAATGTGAGGAGGGAGTGCATGCTAGGCCCGGAATATACTTGTACAAAGTTAGAGAGACAAGAGATGGATGTGTGTGCAGGGAATGACAAGGCCATTTAGCTAAAATAAAGAATTCTTGAAGGATTCAGCAAAGGAAACAGAGGGAAAGTGTCCAAGCAGGTAGGAGAACCAAGAGGAGCAAAGTCATGAAAATCCAGGGAGGAGAGTATATCTAGGATGAAGGGGCTGTCAGCAATGCCTAATACCACATAATAGATCAAGGAGGATAAAAACTGTGAAGTAATACGTGGCCATGTAAATTGTTGTTTACTACATCATTGGTGATTCATTCAGTAAGCATTTATTACATACCTACTGTGTGCTGGGCACTGTGCTAAGTACTTGGGATATAAATACAAATAAAGAATCCCTGGCCTTAAGGAGCTTACAATCCAATTGGGGAAGATAACAACCAAAAGGAAGCTGAAAAGTGGGGATGAAAGACAGAAAAGGTACCTGGTGTTAGGTGTCATAATGGAGAGGAGACCGTAGTGGGTCCCCTTCTTAAATGGAGGTTTTAGAGCTTCTGGTCCAGCTCTCCAGTTAGAGGGGCCAAGGCTTCTGATGAGATGTCAGTTTGTTGTAGTGGTTTCAGTCATGTCTGACTCTTTGTGACCTCATTCGGATTTTCTTGACAGATACTGTAATGGTTTGCCATTTCCTTCTCCAGCTCATTTTAAAGATAAACAAACTGAGGCAAACAGTGTTAAGTGACTTGCCCAGGGTCACACAGCTAGTAAGTATCTGAGCCCAGATTTGAACTCAGGAAGGTGAGCCTTCCTGACTCCAGGCCCAAAACTATCCACTGTACCACCAAGCTACAGAGATGTCAGTATCGAATCTGATTTAATCTTGCAGGATAAGGAGATTTCCCATCAGAGAATTTCATTTGGATGATGTGAGGTTGGGAGCCAGATCGCTAGGGGTTGAAAAAGTGAGTGAGAGAAGAGGAAGTAAAGGCAGTGAATGTAAGCAGCCTTTTCTAGGAATTTTATTGTGAAAAAAGGGAAAGATGGAAGACCATAGCTTTGGGGGGATGGTCTGGTTAAGTGAAAGGGGCTTTTAGGATCAAGTAGATTTGAACATGTTCGTAGGCAGCAGAGAAGGATTCAGTATGGGAAGATAGAAAATTAAAGGGCATGATTGTAGGGGCAAGCTAGTGGAGGGAATGGGATCAAGATAAAAAGTAGAGAGGTTAGCTTTTGGGGAAAGATGGGGAGTGTTGATCATAGGACTTTGAGACATAGACAGAGAGAGAATAGTGACTATTTAAAATGGCCTCTATTTTCTTAGCATAGTATGTTGTGAGGTCCTTTGCTGAGAGAGAGAGAGAGAGAGGGTAGGGAATGGTTTAGGAGGTTTGAGAAGAGAAAAGGTTTAAAATGGCAGCTGTGGGGAGTATGATAGGGAGTCCATTAGGAGAAAAGGAAAAGATGTGTCTTACTACAGTGTAGACAGTGTAATATTAGATTAACAAATTCATAGTGGATCCAGTTAGCCTGATTATGTGAATTCCTCCAGCACCCTTCAACAACACTTGATTGAGAGCATGAAAGGCACATGGTCTGGGTAACCCAGGGTTGGGTCTGACAAGGCATCAGTGGGGATAGAGCAAAGGGACAAAGATTTTTTTCTTTATGTATCTGGACAGGCCTAGTTTTCTTCTGGACTTCATCGTACATAGAATTGCTGCTTGTTCCCATAGACATCTGGTCCCACCGTGGGAAAGTCTGAATGTGTTAGTTCCACTGAGGAAACTAGATTGCTGTAGAAATGTCAGCAGAACTGTTTGTTCTGCATCTCTTTTTCTGGCTTCCACATCTATAAATACTTCCAGTTATAATCTGGCTTAGGTATCACATGAGGTTCTTTGCTAACTTGTTTTCTTCACTGCTTATTGCTATATTGTGAGGCATTACCCATGGTTTTCTTTGTTTCTCTTCTGTAATGTTTTGCAAATAGCTTATACTTTAAAGTATTGTTATCCTTTGCTGCCATATCTTTCTCCTTAGAAAAAACGTTAAGTTTTTTTCTGGCTTTGCTGGCTTCATGTAGTTTCTGAACTCTTTCAGCCTCTTTGTTATAGTAACTGTTTTGCATTGTTTAACTTCTAAGAAATTGTAATAGAAACAGTACCTTCATTTTGTTCATTTTTCTCTTTTCAGAGTCAACAAGTTGTTTAAACAGGTCAGGTTAAAACTGTCGTAATCATCTGGCATCTCCTCATCTTTATCCTTTCTTCCAATTTTGTATTTACTTTGAACTTTCCTCTTATTATCTGATTGTACAGTCATTCTGAAATGACTGCTACATCTATAATCAATTATTTCCTGTTCGGTGGTCAGTTTCATTTTTGTGATGCTATTTGTGGCTTAGGCTCCAAAGTAGTCTAGAAACCCTTGTTTTTTTTTATTCCACTTCTTGATCCAGAACCATATTTTCCAACTTAGTTTTTGCCATCCTTCCCTTTGCCCAACTTTGCATTGAATTCACCCATTATCAAAGTGTATTTTGACTTAGTTTGGTTAGTTTTGACTTAATTTTCAATCTGATTCAGCAAGCATTTGTAAAATGTTCTATGTGCGAAGCACTATGATAGGCCCTAGGCTACAGTAACAGAAGTGAAGTAGTGGGGGGGTAATGCCCCACTTCAAGGACCTTAGACTCTAGCACCATCTATACAGATAAATTAAAAAAAATATATGTACAATGCAAATTTGCAGTAATTTTGGAGAGATCATAAACAAATTGGGGACGATGAAGAAAGGCCTCATGTAAGAGGAGAGAGTACTTTGATTTGAATTTTGAAAGGAGCACGGAGTTCCAGGAGGCAAAAATGAGCATGAGGGGCATTCTAGACATACCATACAACGTATGCAAAGACGTAGAGGTGGGAGACGGAATACAGTATGTAGGAAACAGCGAGTAGGCCAGTTAGCTAGGACATAGAATGCGTGAGGGAGAGGCATGGGAAATTAGTGTGGAAAAGAGATCAAAGCCAGACTGGGAAGGATCTTAGATACTATGCAGAGGAGCTTATATTTTTATCCTAGAGAAAAGAGGAAGCCACTGGAGCTTCTTTGTCCAGGGGACTATCAGTTTGGCAATTGTGTGAAGCATGGATTGGAGAATGAAGACATGAGGCAGAGAGGCTATTGAAATAGTCAAAGTGAAAGGATTTAAGGATGGCATGATTAAGAATTCACACAGACTCATGATAGACATATTATAACAACAACAACAATAATAATAGCTAACATTTATATTACCCCTGCTATTTGACAGACTCTGTGCTAAGTGCTTTACAAATATCTGATTTGATCCTCACAACAACCCTGGGAGGTAGGTACTATTGTTATTCCCATTTTTTAGATGAGAAAACTGAGGCAGACAGGTTAAGTGACTTGCCTAGGGGTCACACAGCTATTAAGTGACTGAGGTCATATTTTAACTCAAGTCTTCCTGACTCCAGGCCCAGGCCTCTAACCCTGCACCATCCGGATACCCCTAATAAATATTTGTTGAATCCAGTTAATTTGGCAGGAAGGTGATTGATAGGTTGCCATTCCCACTGTTAGAGGACTGAGTCCTCCTATCAGTGAGATCCTAGATCCATTAGACAATCTCGTCAAGATTTTAAAATAATTTTTCTATATCCTTTGCACTAAATATTGGTAATAAGGAATAAGCACCTTGATGGTGCTTTCATGGTAACTTATCAAAATTATCAAAATATCAGTTTCATGTACTTTAACCATAGACTCAAACCAACTCTGCCAGATCATTAATTTATCTCTCCAAGAAGAACCTTTGAGCCATACTTTCATTTAGCCACATCTTCCCCATGTATTCTGGTTTTAACAAGATAAATGTGGTTCACTTCTATTAATACATTATTCATTGGTCTTTGGACAAAGGTTGTACATAGTACCAAAAGTTTAATGCTTACTTAAAAACTGTATGATTCTTGGGCCCTTCTTTTCTCCTTTTCTGTCACTCTGCCACTGACACTGAGAACATGGAAAGGCTATTTTGCATTTTTGTCTTTTTCATAGCTAGCTAACCTTCTTTTGATGAGCCGTTCTGTACTTATCTAGATTCTTACTTACCATTTAGTAGAACCTGTCATAGCTTATACTTCACTGGCATAGCTTTCAAGAATCTAGGATTATTTCCATATCGGGTTGAGTTAGTAGAGTATTACATTTATGGAGGAAATTTCTGTCTCCCTAATGAAAAATGCTGTAGTAGTTTTCCTGTGTCTATAATTGAGAAGAATTTAGCCTCTTACACATTTTAACTTTTCATGTTTTCAAATTAAATATTTTGATTAAATTGTTTGATCTAAGTATAGAAGGAAAATATTTAAAATAGAATATATTTAGAGAAATAACATTTCTTCTTTTTCAGAGTAAGACAAATCTTATTCTGCAGCCATGAAATTTCTACTGATTTTTGACTTTGACCATACAGTCATAGATGAAAATAGTGACACCTGGATTATGAAATGTGCTCCTGAGAAAAATCTTCCTAATGAACTAAAAGATTCTTATGAAAAAGGAAAGTGGAATGAATATATGGGCAGAGTCTTTAAATATTTAGGAGATAAAGGAATAAGGGAATATGAAATGAAAAGAACTATGACAGAAATACCTTTTATTGAAGGAATGATAGAGCTTATAACCTTTGTTGGAAAAAATAAAGACATTTTTGACTGCATAATGATTTCAGATTCAAATACAGTCTTCATAGATTGGATTTTAGGAGCTGCCGCTGTTCGTGATGTGTTTGATGAAGTGTTTACAAACCCAGCAGCTTTCAATGACAATGGTTATCTTACTCTGGAAGGTGTTCATGTTCATCATTGTGATAAGTGCCCAAAGAATCTCTGTAAAAGAAAAGTTATGGTAGAATTTCTAGATAAACAATTACAAAAAGGAATGAAATACGCCAAAATTATTTATCTGGGTGATGGTGAGAATGATTTCTGTCCGATAACCTCTCTAAAGAAGAATGATGTTGCTATGCCTCGAAAAGGGTATTTTTTACATAAATTGATTTCTCGGTTGCCTCAGGATGTTTCTTTGGAACCTTCTGTTGTAGTTTGGTCATCAGCTTCTGAAATACTTTCTTATTTGAAATTACTTATAAAGAATGATTCATAACAAAATTGGGGATGGCTTAAATGAATAAGAAAAGTAGCTCGTACTTAAATTTTATATAGTAGCAGAAAAATTAGTTGTTATATTCTAAAAGAATACATGCAATATCAATATATTCCAAATTTTCATACTTTCCTTTTGGAATGAAATGCAAAAAAGTATGATTTTTAAAAAATGTTTCTAGTTCACTTCATAAAATCTCATTTATTGCTTTACAGGGAATAGGTTTATTCACTGTGCATATGATGCTTGTCAATGTAATCTTCAACAACAAAACTCAAAATTCTTATAAATATTCATTAATACAGGGCATGTTACAGTAACTATTTTAAAGGATTGTGCCATTGAAATAAAGTCTTACTGAGACAATTATACCAAAACATGTTAATTTTAAGGATCTAATTTTTAGGCTTAAGTGTCCAGCATGGAATTACTCCTCTGGTTTTTATTTTTTCCAAATTATTAACAGAGGCCCTTAGCCCCTAAAAAATGTACTTAGAATAATTTAATGTGGAAAAAAATGTGTACCATTTACTCAGTTATTTTGTAAATGTAAAACATAAATAAACACATCTCATTTACCTGTATGTGTTGTAGAGAAAGTGACTTAGAGAACTAATAGGTTAAATTATGTTGGATCACATCCAGCCTTACAGATAGCCATCTGTCTATATGTCAGATCTAGTAGTTGTTTATGGAATTTCAGTAGCAAAGAATTTAAAAAATTTTTTTTAGAACTTTATGCGATACATACATTCCCTACATAAAATTGTACCAACCAATATCTTTTGTCAGTAACACCAGTAAATGTGTTATTACAATATTCCATTGAGCCCTTGAATTTCCTCTGTAGTATTCTTTGGTCAAGATTAGCCCAGGCTCATTCAACTCATGTCCATCCTAACATCTGCCTCCTCCAACCAATTCCATGGTTAGAGTATCTCAGTTCTTGCATCTCCACCCAATCACTCCCTGTCATCCCTTGCCTCAAGTTACACCCACAACACTCTCCCACACTGACTAGCTTGGCTCCATAGAGCCCTTAGTCCTCAAATCTATCTTCTTCCATTCTTCCTCCTAATATTTCATTTTAGGACATTGTTACTATGATCTCAATTATAATGTATTTTACGTAATGTCATGTGATTAGGGAAATGAAGTAACATTAGGCAAGATACATTAATATGTACAGAAATGTGTGTATATATAAATATGATAGAACACCAAAGAGAGAAAATACAGCTTTACAGGCCTTAAGTGATAAAATATTCTTGTCCTAATAAATTTTGTTTTTTTCTGTAAACCTGTACCTTGATATTGAACAACTGCTTTCTGAAGGTGAGTTAATACATTTGAGAAGAATATAAACTTCTTCAAATGACTGGAATGTAATTTTCTGCATCAGTAACTTACTGAATGATACTCTCATCGCTAGGATTCTCCATGTGCCATTTTGATATTTATATAGTTAAATTACTTAATACAGATAAATTAGTTTTATCTTCCTCAATGCCTGTGAAGTTCTATGTAAGCATTAGACTGCTAGTATGCTTTCTTCCCAGTTGATGTCACTTACTTTCTATCATCTGTTACCAGTACATGCATCCAGTAAACAATTTAAAAATAATTTATCCTATAATCTTAGTGATTGTCAGAGCTCGTCTAGTCCAATCCACATCTGAAGCATGAATGCCATTACAAGTGTTTATTGCCTTGACAAGTGTTTATTCCGCAACTACTTGACAATGTTCTCTAATGACAGAAAACTCATGTCCCAGTTCCATTTTTGAACAGTTCTAATTCTTACAAAGATTTTCCTTGTGTTTGATCAAAAAGTATTTGTTCACCCAGGCATTGTACTAAGTGCTGGAGATACAAAGGAAAGAGAAACACAGCCCTTATCCTGAGGTAGCTCACATTTGGTGGAGACAGCATGCAAACAACGTACATAGAGATTGTATATAGAATGTAAATGATAGGTCCTCTTAGAGGAAAGGCATTAGCAATGGGAGGGGTCCAGGAAAGGCTCTTTGCAGAAGGTGGGATTTGAGCTTTTTTGAAAGAGGTCAAAGAAGCTTGGAGGTAAAGGCAAGGAGGGGGCACCTTATAGGAAGGCTAGGGGGCAGCCTGTGGAAAAATACCTGCATTATCTGTTACTTCCACTTATTGTTGCCTGTTCCTGCCTTCTACGATCAAGAAGTCTGGTTCCTCTTAGGCCTTTAAGTATTTAATGATCCTTCTAAATCTCCTTCATGTTAAAGATCTCAAGTTCTGTTTTTTTTTTTTCCCAAATGAGCCACTGTTTTGAGTCCTCACCATCCTCGTCTTTGTCCTTTAGACTAATTCTAGTTTGTCCTTAAAATGTGGTGTCCAGAACCAAATAGAGTTTGCCAGATATTGTCTGGTTAAGACAAAGTAAAATAGACTATCACCTCCCTCATTTTGGACCCTCTACTTTTATTCATGCAGCCTAGTATCATGTTAGCTTTTTAGATGTCATGTAATACTATTGTTTCTTGAGTTGCCACATTGGGAGGATCTCATGGCAAACTTATGGGATGACATGAACAAGTCACATAAGATAGGTATGCATCAGGTTTTAGCCTCTATTATTAAGGGGAGAGCTAAATAAGATTACAGATACATTTGAGTATTTAAATTATCCTATTGGCTGATACTGAGTTTACAATCCATGAAAATGCCCAGGTACTTTTTACATGAAGTATTGTTTATCCTTATATTCTTTCCTGGTTTGCCGACTGCTCTGGCTGTTGCTGCAAGCTGTGGGTATACCCCAGTATTCAGCCTGGATTCTTCTATTTCCTCTATACTTGTCTTATTTTATCTCATCAACTCCCTTGTTTCAATGATTTCTGTGCACATGACCCTCACATCTACATCACCAACTATCTAGTACACATTTTGAATGGAATATCCTAGAAATATCTCAAAAAATATGATAAAAACTACTTATTTCCTTTTTCCTAAAGGCAACCATCCTCTGCACTTAACTACCATCAAAATCCCAACTATCCTTACAGTCACCCAGATATGTAGCCTCAGTGTCATCCTCGACTTCTCACTCACCTTCCACCTCACATATACAGTCATTTGCCAAATCTTGTCCCTAACACCTTTACCACATCGTGTACATCTTTTCAGTCATCACCTTTTGACTATTGCAATAGCCTCCTGATTGGTCTCCTGGCCTGAAGAGTCTCCCCTTTCCAGCTTAACTTCCATAAGTTGCCAAAGTAATTTTCCTGAAGTGCTAGTCTGACCATATCACCTTTCCTACTCAGTAAACTCCAGTGGCTCCCTGTTATCTCTAGGAACAAACACGAACTCCTCTGTTGAACTTCATCACCCAACCCCTTCCTATCTATTCATGCTTCTTACACGTTACTCTTTTTCATGAATTCTGTGGTCCGAAAGTACTGGCCTACCTGCTTTTCTTCAAACATGATAACGCAGTCTTCCATCTCTGTGCCTTTGTGCTACCTGTTTTCCATGCCCATAAGGCTCTCCCTTTTTACCTCACTTCTTGAAATCGCTGGTTTTCTTCAAGATTCTGTTTAAGCATCTCAGTCCTCCTTTCCTAGTCTTACCTAGCTATTTCTTCCTTCTCCAAAATTTGCTTTGTATCTTCTTTGTATATATCGTGTATATACTTACATATCTACATTAATTAGATATGTAATTAGCCTGATTAGAACATGAGTTTTTTGAGGGCACAGTTTATTTTTTATTTTTTTTTATCTCTAGTACTCATTATGGTGCCTGGCACATAGTAAGACCTTAATAAATGCTTGTTGGTTGATTGATTGTACAGTTGGCTTTTTGAACCTAAGTGCAGGACTTTACATTTATCTCTACTAAATTTAATTTTGTTAGCTTCAGACCATTATTCAAGAATTGTGATGTAATGAAAAGAGCTTCAATCTAGGAATCCGGAGACCTAAGTCTAAGTTCTGAGTCTGATACTAATTAGGTATGTTTTCTCTGGGATTCAGTCTCCCAATTTACAAAATGAATCAAACACAGGATTTTGAATTGGAAGGGATATTAAAGATCGTCTACTCTACTGCCTTCATTTTAACATTGAAGAAACAAATCCTAAGGGTTATAGGGGCTTCCCCAAAGTTATTCACAGAGAGAGGTAAGCAAATAACATGAACTGCATGATAAACTTAATACTTTTGAATACCATTAAATTGATTTTTCAAATTAAAAACAATTCTTTATACTTTTTTCTTATTTTTGTTCTGAATTTAAGCACCAAAAAACATTTACATATACACAACAGAAGACAAAAAGAGGATTGCATATGAAACCATAAATTTCCATTTCATTCTACTTTACTTTTTTAAAAAGTATGTAGTAAATCCTATATATTACCTTCTTGTGCTGCCTTCTAAACTTCTTTCTATTCCTTGCGTTCTTAGAAATATTACAGTGGCTCTTTGGGGGGACAGCACTAATACTAATCCTCTTTCCCTCCCATCACCTCTTCTCCCACAATTAAAAACCAAGATAAAGGGGAAAAAAACCCACCCTGTAATGAATAAGCAAAAATCAATCAAAATTCACAGTGTACAAAAATGTGTGTCTTTCTTCGCCTTGAGTCCAATACCTCTCTATCAGAAACTGGGTAATAATGATTCAGCATGGGTCTTCTGATCATTACATTGACCAGAGTTCATAAGTCCTTCAACTTTGTTTTTCTTTACAATGTTGCTGTTGTAGAAATTGTTCTTGTTCTGCTTCACTCTGAAGCAGTTCATAATACCTAGGGTTCTCTGAAATCATCTCTTTTCTAATTATTATTCTATTATATTCATATACCACAATTTGTTCAGCTATTCCCCAACTGGTGGCCAACCTTTTAGATTCTATTTCTTTTCTTTTTCTCCTCCTTTTCATCCCCACTTTGGGATTAAGAAATTTGTTTTGCTTGTAAATATTTGCTCCTTGGTATTATCCCCCCTCTTCCCTCTTCTCTATTACTGATTGTTTCTCTATTTAGCTTAATGTATTTCTACACTAAACTTCTCTGTGTGTATATGTTCAACTCTTTTCTGGTTCTGAGAGTATTTGAGTAGTTTTCATTTCTGATTTATTTCTCTTAGTGATTTCTTGCAATATAGTGTCCCAACTTTTTTTTAATGATTTTCAGAGAATATGATTATTAAATTCTCTCTCAACCTATTTTCTAAGCCAGTTGTTTTTGATATCAGGTATATTTCTGTTTTTTCAATATTTTAATTTTATCCCAATATTTCATACTATCTCATGGAGTCATTGGAAAATAGCCATCTCTACAATGATCAAAAAGACTATTTTTTGGTCTGTTTGGATGGACTAAGGACATTAAGCCTTGTGATTAGCAGGACTGGCAAGGGAGAAAAACTACTTAACCCCAATTTTCATGTTGTAATTTTATGGAAAATAAAGAATTATAAAAATTTTTGTGTTGAAAAGTTGGTGACAGTAAGACAAGTTGCCTTATAAATTAAGATTTTCAAAATCACATTAAAAACATTTAAAATTTTAAAAAATTAATCCTAATCAGTCTCAAGTCTCTCCCTGATCCAATCCATCCTCCATGTAGCTCCCAAAGTGATTTTCCTGAAGGTTAATTCTGACCAGGTCATTCCCCTAATTCAATGAATTACACTATGCCACTTTTCCAAGTGGCAATGCCAAGTTATTACCTTGGCAAGAACAGTAGTTAGCTCATGGACACAAAATAGGCATTTTACAAAATAAAGGAATCTCAAAAGATAATTTCAGTCCCAACAATGTGTTCTTGTAGTATATTTGACTAATAGAATTTATACTGTAATGCTAATCTATAAGCTATTTCAGTTATAATACCTTATGTTTGTATGGCATTTTTAACCTTTTTTTATACTACATAATAAAACCCCATCATATCCTCACAACTACTCACTTTTTATATGAAATTGTGAATTTCTATTGATCTGTTTTTAAGTGTGTATTAAGTTTAGCACAATATTAACAAAACTGCCTTGCTTGTCTCTGTCCCCTTCTGAATTTCCTTCTGTTCTCTTCTGTGTATCTTTCATGATTTAAATTTTTTCTTATTTTTTATATCACGCTAATATCTCTCTTTCTCTCTCTGTCTCTCTTTCTCTTGCTCATACTCTTTTGCTCTCTTGCTTTCTCACACACAACTCCACTGAAACAGATAAGTAAAGTAACGCAAAACACATCAATACGTTGGCTTCGTCTGTAACAGCTGCCTTCTGAAGTGAATTGGGTGAGTATCTCCATTTTACAGATGAAAAAATTGGGGTCTAGCAGTCAAATAACTTACTCTAAGTTCTGCAA